CGCCAGGCGCCCGCGGGGCTCGGGCCTGGAGTCCAGCGCCCCGCAGCTGCCCCGCAGCTTCCCCTCAGGTTTGCCAAACTCAGGGCATCTTTAAACCAGGCGTCGGGAGGAAGATCTGGGAAGTTCTGCAAGTTCACAGCGGGCGGCGAGGGTGCGCTCTCGTTTCTGCCCCAGGGGCTCGGCCTGGCGCCCACCGCGGTTAAGGGGAACCGCGGTTAAGGGGAACCGCAGAGCCTCCGCGGCTGCTAATAGAGAGATCCGGGGAGCGCCGACACTGTTAGAACTGACCTTTAAAACGCAAATCAAATTGAAGCACGGCCACGCCTTTCCCATCAGAATAGCGTTTAGGTTGTGCCTTTCCAGATAAATGGCTGGTTCCCAGGTGACCATGGCCCTTTCCAGAGGCTCGGGGAGGGGGTGGCAGGCATCGCTGGGGGCCTGGCTTCATGGGTAGGGTCCCCAGGTGATTGATTCTGAGGAGCAGAAACCGCTTCTGCAGTCCCTGAGGCCTACAGCCAATGGCTTTTGTGTTTTCTATTTTTGGCTTAGCTTTTCTGGGTTGTGGAGGTCAGCTGGTTAGAGAAGATTCTGCCTGAGCAGGGCCAATACAATTATTCTGAGTTGAGTTTAACTCAGGGCTTAGAAAGCCCTGGGGGTGGGTGGTCCTGAACATTCCCTAAATGTTTATTACGTGCCTACTGACTCCAATGGGTGCTTTGGAGCAGCAAGCAAAGCCTCGCAGAGATTATATTTCAGTAGGGAAGAGAATGAATGCATACATATTATACCATGTAGTGTACAATGTTGGATGGTGAAATATGAAGAAAATAAAGCAGGGTGAGGTGGCAGAGAGTGATGGGGGCTGTAATTCTATATAAGGTGGGCGGCAGAATTTTCTGAGAGGTGGTGATGTTCAGCAGAGAACTGAATGAAGGGAGCCTGTCAGGGCAGAAAGCATTAGAGGCAGAGGGAGGCAGAGAGAAACAGTGCAAGGGCCCAGGGGCAGCTGTCACCCCACCAGTGAGTCAGGAAAAGGCACCCCTGCTGGGCAGGCAGCCCATGCCTGGGCTGATTATGGGCTGCTAACCAGACCTCGGGGCCCACCGAGCCAGGCCATGGTGCAGGTGACAGCCACGCACAGCCACACAGCGTCTCTCCGAGAGGCACAAGCTTGGGACTTAGAGGAATAGCACGAAGGCTGGCACGGCTGGGGGGAGAGAGGGTAGGATGAGGGAGAGTCATAACTAGCAATCTCCATCTTAAAAGATTCGTGCTTCAGAACAAAAATCCTTTCCATGTGTGAACTAACCGCCAGCCACGTGGGACAGGATTTAGAAGCAGCCCCTCCTCAGGGCTCTGCTCCATTCCCCATTGGGGCAATTACTTTCTGCCATCAACCAGGAGGCTGAGGTGGAATTTCAGAACATCGGCCCTAATGACAATAACACTTTAATTTGGAAACTTAAGGCTGGCTATGTCCATGCCCATCTCACACAGAGAAATTCTCTTCTTCCTCCCCTTTTTATTTCCTTATACCAAGCTTACCTGTCCTGAGGCAAAACAGTCTGTACAGCAAAGTCAAAAGAACCTTGACATAAGTGTAATATCACTAATATTTTTTAAATTATTAAAAATACACAAGTAAAATAGACTCTCCTCACCTCTTCCTCCATCTCTAATGCCTTTCTTTATGACTTTCATTTTCTGCTTCATTTCTGAATTGTTTAAAATGTTTTATAAATCTATTGATTTGACAAGCCCACATCCAACTACTCGATATTATTTTAATTTTAAAAAATAATTTAAGCCCGGCCGGGTGTGGCTCAGCGGTTGAGCGTAGACCTAGGATCCAGAGGATCGGGGTTCGAGTCCCGGTCAGGGCTCATGCCCAGGTTGCAGGCTCGATCCCCAGTCGGGGGTGTGCAGGAGGCAGCCGATCAATGACTCTCATCATTGATGTTTCTGTCTCTCTCTCTCCCTCTCCTTCCCTCTCTCTGAAATCAATAAAGATATATTTTAAAAATGATAAAAAAATAAAAAATAATTTAAGCCCTAGCCAGTTTGGCACAGTAGTTAAGGAGCATCGGCCTGTGGACTCAAAGGTCCCCGGTTCAAATCCAGCCAAGGGCACACACCTGGGTTGCAGGTTCGATCCCCTGGCCGCCGTCGGCAACCAGGGAAGGCAACCAATTGATGCGTCTCTCTCACAGCCATGTTTCTCTCTCCCCCTTCCACTCTCTCTGAAAAGCAATGGAAAAAATATCCTCAGGTGAGGATTAAAAATAATAATTTGAGAAAACAGTTGTTGTGCTGTATGGTGTTGGCATCTACTACACCTGAGGTGGTTAGCCTGCCTCCCTGCGTGGTTATTATAGAGAAGTGACGACAGGAGATAAAGGCTAAGTCCTTTGCTGAAGGATCCGTTAGGAACAATATTTGAGGATTTCTGGAGCTGGGAATGTGAGATAGGAACGTAGCCTGAAGCGCTGTTCCACTCCCACTGCCCTCTGCTCAATATTGTAATAACTATGTGTGGTGCCAGGTGGGTACTAGACTTAGCAGGTGATCACTTCATAAGTTCTACAATGTATAATCACTGGTTGTGTACCTGAAACTAATATATTGTACATCAACTGTAATTGAAAAATAAAAAATTATTTTTAAAGGAAGTTTCTATCCCTCAGTGTTGTCATAAGGTTGGTTTCTTTTAATGTCAGTGTATATAAGATACCCTTCAATTAGCTTAGTGATTATGCTGATAAACATTTTCAACAGATATTGTAGCTGGAAAAGGAAAATCATGACACTGAAATATAAATGTACAGACACATGAAAAGATGCTCGACATCAGTGATCATCAGGGAAACGCAAATCAAAAGCACAGTGAGCTACTTACTGCCTCACACCTGTCAGAAGGGCTCCATCAACAAGTCAACAAACGGCAAGTGCTGGCGAGGGTGTGGGGAGAGGGACGTTTGTGCGCCGATGGTGGGAATGTAAACTGTTGTAGCCACTATGGAAAACAGTGTGGAGATTCCTCAAAAAATTAAAAATAGAACTACCATATGATCCAGCAATTCCTCTTTGTAGTATTCATCTGAAAAATAATGAAAACACTAATTCGAAAAGATATATGCACTCCCATGCTCACTAAAGTGTCATTCACAGTAGCCAACATATGGAAACAACCAAAGTGTCTATCAACAAATGAATGAATGAAGACGTGGTACATAAAAACAATGAAATATTAGCCATAAAAAAAAATGAAATCTTAAACCATTTGTGACAACATGGATGGACCTTGAGGGCATTATGCTAAATGAAATAAGTCAGACAGTGAAAGACAAATACCATGATATCACTTACATGCGTAATTTTTAAAAAACAAACAAAACCAAGCTCATAGTTACAGAGAACAGATTGGTGGTTGCCAGAGATGGAGACTAAGGGGTGGCCAAAATGGGTGAAGGGGTCAGAGTATAAACTTCCAAAAATAAGTCCTAGGAATGTAATTACAGCATGTTGGCTACAGTTAACAATACTGTATTTCATATTTAAAAGTTGCCAGGAGAGTAAATCCTAAAAGTTCTCATCACAAGAAAAAGAAACTTCATGTGGTGACGGATGTTAACTAGATTTATTGTGGTGATCATTTCCCAATTTACACAAATATCAAACCATTGTGTTGTATACCTGAAAGTAATATAACGTTGTATGTCAATTATACCTCAATAAATGTTTTTTTTTAATTTCAGAATGTTGCAGAGAACTTTAATCTTTTTAAAAATTCTTATTCATTGATTTTGAGAGAGAGAAACATCAATTTGTTGTTCCACTTATCTATGCACCCATTGGTTGCTTGCCCTGATGAGGGATCGAACCCATAACCTTGGCGTGTGGGAAGGATGCTCTAACCAACTTAGTTATTGGGCCAGGGCTCAATAAATATTTTTAAATTTTTTTAAAAAGAGAAAAAGTAACCCAAAAGGGAGCAATGACAAATGAGCTTAATTGAAACCCAGACAGAGCCCAATAACTGAGATGCCTTCCCTTTGATACTAATATGCAATGATATATTTTCCTTTCTGTATTAGTCAATCACTGAAATCAATAATGTTGTGCAGAGAGCAAGGATCGTCTATGAAATCTTGGAATCTGCTATCTGCCTCTTTGCAGAGATCTAGGATATAACAAGCCTCCTGGTAACAACAGATGTTATTTGTTTACAGGGAAATGTTCTTTATATAAAATGTACCTTCCAGCCATGCCTAATCAATATCCAGCTGTCACACTCTGCAAGAATACATGCCTTATTTTGCATGATTCTTTTCAGGGACTTTCTAAGCAGATCCAATTGGTGACCATGTTCAATAACACTTATGGTTGAGCTTTGGCCAAGATGCAACAGTGGTTTCTTTTCTTCTCATCAGTTGTGCTCATTGAATTATTTACAAAGTTTCTGAACAACAGTTTTAAAAACTTAAAATGAAACAGGAGGCCATATGAGGTAATAAGCTCCTTCATTGGAGATGTTCAAGGCTGAGCCTCTGTTTTCTTACCTGAAAGTGGGGATAGTGGATTTACCTTGCAG